TTTCATCATTTTACTATTTCCGTGTTTCTTTATTTCATGCTTCTTACTGCTTCTCCTCCCCCTCTTTTCCCCATATCTTTTCTCATTCCAGTTTATATCCCTCTCTTTCTTAATATCTTCCTTTCCCCTTTTCTGCTGGGTTTTTCTGCCTTTCCTGACTTCACAGGTACTCCCCCTTTTGATTGCCTTCTTAAATCTCAACTTTTTAACCTTCCTTCTTTCCCCACTTCTTTGTAGCGTTCTTTGTGTTAATTATTTAAGATGTCTTCTCCTTGAGTCGACTCCTCCTCCTCTGAAGCTCTTCTTGTTTTTCAATTGCCATTTCCATTTTTTCTAACACAGAGCAAAGTGATTTGCCTCTTTCCTGTAGCAATTCTCTCATATTTTTAAGTTCCATTTTTAATTCCCGAAGAGATATCATCATTACACACTCTTATATTTTATGATGGTTAAAGTCCACAAAAAATAAACCACTTTTAGTTTCCTTCTTTCTTCTTTCAGTTTTCTAAAGTTCTCAATTATTCCAGCCCAGGGTCTATACCAAAAACACCAATCAATTCCACAGTCAGTCTTTCCTTGCTTTTTTCTTTATTCTGGTTCTGCTTTCTCTTTTTAAGATTCGTATTTTGTTTCAACATTTCTTTAATGTTATATCCACACAAGTTCATTCAAAAACAGGATGCTTTCCCTTTTGTTTGAGCTCAAGTTTTTGTCAAAAGGTGGCACTCTCCATTATATAAAGTCTTCACCTTTTTCCCCTATTTTTTTATTTAGGGTTTTTCAAACCTCAATATTCCAACACACTCCAGTCTCCAATTGGTAAATTTTATTATTATTATTTTTTGACAATCTTAAGTCCAGCTTTATTTTATGCCTGTTTATTGCCAAAATATTTTAGTCCAATTTAGTTAAATCTTTAGTTCCAGCTTCTTCCTTTCCCGGTTCGAAGCCCCACTTAGCTGTCAAAAATATTTTCTTTTTCTTTTTTCCTGTCCCTTTGTAATTTTGCTGCTCACTTTTCTTTTCTTAAAAATTCCATGTTACCTTAATCCCAGGGTACTTTTGTTTAGTTGTATCGCCCAGTTGTCCCAGTTCAGATGTTACCCACCTCTTTCTTCCCTCCTGCACAAATCTTAATCCAGCTGAGTCCTCCTCTTCGGGGTGGCCATTTTAAACCACCGCTGCAGTCATCTTCGGGTGGGGAAAGAACAAGCCCAGGGGTGGAGATGCAGCTCCGCTCAACCTGGCTTGTGGCTTCCCTTTACTCCACCACCCCTCCAAAGCAGCTTCAGCCCCTAATCGTAATGATCGGGGCTCTCCAATGAAAGAGCACGAACCATAGCTGCAGAGAGTCATGATCTGTGGTCCATCAGCGAGGAGGCTCCACCTTCTTTTGGGTTGATCCCCATTTTTGTGGCAGCCACTCAAATATGGGAACACTGCTATCATGTCACCCCTACTCCTTCTTTGCATTAGACTAGATATACCCAATTCCTGCAACTGTACTTCACATGTTTTAGCCTTCAGCCCTCCTATTCCCCCAATCATCTTTGACTGTTCACATTGGATATGTTCATATTTGTTTGTTTGCATTGGTTTTAGGTAAAGATATTGAAAGAGATTTTGGACCCATCTCAGAAGAACAATCTGGCAAATACTGAGCAAAGGTGACATAACCAAACAATAGGAATCCAGAAAAAGATATTTGCATGTCCACAAGGATTAATTGTTTTTGAAACATGGAGGGATCCCATCTAACTACACTTGGATTAGCCACATCCAGAATTAGTCTACAAGGAAGAAAAACTTAGAATAACATATCAAAAAAATCTTGCTCTGATTCAAACCATCAGGTTTTAATTTCTCTTTGATTTTAACAAAAATGGAAACTGATAAAATGATGCCCATTTGAAACATGTAATCAAAAGAAGAAGGGAGATTGGAAATTAATATGTTCACTCTGTTTTAGGAATAAGCTGATGACAAATGAGATCACAGTATAGGAATTCATATTGTTAGGGCTGACTGACAACTTTCCCCTTGAAGTTACCCTTTTTCTCCTCCTGTTTGGAATTTATTTTTCAACTCTAATAGGAAACACAGTGATTATTATTATCACACAGGTGAATGTTCAACTCTCTAGCCCAATGTATTTCTTCTTCCGATATTTGGCATGGGTAAATATTGGGTTTATGAGTACTGTAATTCCCAAAGCACTGGTCAACATAGCTACTGGTAGTAAGAGCATCTCTTTAGCTGGTTGCTTCATACAGATATTTCTTTATTTGGTCCTTGGTACCACTGAGTTCCTCCTAACAGCTACAATGTCTGTTGATTGATACATAGCCTTCTGTAACCCTCTTCACTACCCAACCATCATGAATACTCAAATCTGCTCATTATTGGTATTTTGTTGCTTGGCTGGGGGATTATCACTAATTCTAGTTGCATGCATTCCTTTATTTCTAATGCCATTTTGTGGTCCTAATGTCATGAATCTTTTTTTTTTTTTTGTGACAATGGACCCCTAATGAAACTGGCCTGTGCTGATACCAGCTCCCTAGAAATGATTCATTTTGTAATTGCCATATTCTCTCTGCTTGGGACCTTAAGTGTCAACATTGTGTCTTATGTCAAACTCATTTCCACCATTCTGTGCATTCCATCAACCACAGGGAAGAAGAAGGCCTTCTCCACTTGTGCTTCTCACTTTACCATTGTCACTATCACTTACAGCAGTTGCCTTTCCATGTACATCAAGCCAAAAAGCACCAGCGGATTGGATTACAACAAAATGGTGGCTCTTCTGAATATAGTTATAAGTCCTTTTCTTGTCCCTATCATATACTGTTTGAGGAACAGACAAGTGCAAGATGCTTTGAAGGCTGAACTGAGACAAAGGATCCGTTTTGCAAAAAATTGAGATGATTTGCTATTGATATGACTCTAAGTTAGATGTTCAGTTTAGATGTCTTAGAATTCATCATTAAGCTATAGCATGCACTGCCTTCAGATGTAATAATTGCCCACTGAGATGGTCTTACAAAGGGACTTGAGAATGCATTGAGCATGGGGTAGTCAGGGATGGAAACATGTGATTGAAATCAAAGGCAGAATCCCTGAAAAAATGGTTGCTAGTGAAGAACAATGGAAAAAGACAATTGCCCACCTCTCTTTGTTGTCAATTTACAAAACACATCTGGTTGCACAATATGTGACAAAGGAGGCATGAGAGTTTCATTTAAGGCATCCTCAAAGGTCTTGCCATCTTCTGAAGCAAAACACACAGCTATCCTTTGTTAATTGTTTCTTGCATCTAAGTATGTTTTATTAGTAGGCACTTTGGGTGGATCATATGCAATACAATACAAGAAGAGATTTGGGTTTGATTCACATATGGAGTCTATTGGTGAATATAGCTATTCCTCTTGAAGTTTTATCCTAACTAGAAAAACAGAATGCCTTAAATGTATCATTAAACTATAGTATATGCTGCCTTCAGGTGTAATAATCACCCACTGAGCTAGCCTTACAAAGAGGCTTGAGAATGCATAGAGGATGATGTGATCAGGGATGGAAACAACTGATTGAAGAAGAACATACACCTACTCTCTGCGAATTGTTTCTTGCATCTAAGTATGTTTTATTAGTAGGTCATATATGTAGTAGACAGTTATTTATTTATTGCCACCTATTCACACATGTATTTCTTTATTCACCACCTATTCACACTAAATCAGAAATGAGGAAGTGATAAGTTGCCCAGGAAAGCCAAGGGAAATCATCAAAACTATAAAAAATATTTTGGACATGTGATGTGACACCTGGTAAAATATGGCAGACTTCTCTTAATCCTCCAAAGAAAGATTGAAGGCAAATGAAGTCCAGGCAGAAGAAGAACATTGTGGCTTTAAAATTTAAGGGATTGGTTTGGACAAAACTCAACAGCATCTTTTTGTGTAGTTGTTGATAAAAATAGGATCACCAATGTCCAATGATGGATATGGCACAAGAAGAAGAATTTGCACATGCTGACCAGTGGTGGGATTCAAAAAATTTTACTACTGGTTCTGTGGGCATGGCTTGGTGGGCATGGCATGACTTGGTGGGGATAACATTGAGAAAGACCAGATTGTTGACACTAGAAGGTCATGATTTGCTGTTGGGTTGGCATTCCTTTTTATGGTATAAGGGAACACAGGGTTATTTTAGAAGACATTATATACAGGAGTCTTTGTGGTTAAATTGGGAGAAGATTAAAAGACAATGTTATTTGAAAATTCCAGTTTGGTTATCGACTATTGAAGCATTTTCCTATCCTATAATTTATAAGAAGGAACAAACAATTAGATATGGGGAAATATTGGATGAAAAGGGTGAACTTAAATCGATGCAAAATCTAGAGGAACAAGGTATTGCAGCAGCGAATCCACATCTAACAGCCTGGGCATATGCCAAAGCCTCACGTAGGCAAAGGAGTTTGGATATATGCCAAGCCCCATGTAGGCAAAGGAGTTTCGATACCTGCAAGACCTCACGTAGGCTGAAAGCAGGTATCAGGAACAAAAGGATGCTGCCCACCTTGGGCTACTGGCTGGACTGCAGGCATGGATTGGTTACTTTGTATCCCTTAAGCACTGTGATTGGGTGCTACAATGTATCCACTGAGACCCCCCACTCTTTTAACATGTAAAGTAGACTGAACTTTCTCTTTTGTGACGTTTAACAATGTGTGTTCAATAAAAGAGCTCCCCTGAGCACGTGTTCGGGGCTGCTCATCCAAGACTGAACCGGCTTGGTCTCTTTCTTGATGCATTGGACTCAATGAGAAGCCCTCCTAATGTGGAGCAAAGCCGCATCTGGTGACCCCGACGTGATCTGCTGAAAAGAAGCAGACCTGCCCGCCTTCGACCTCCCATCTCACCCGGCCGGACGAGCCAGTTGCAACCCAGGGACGCCGTCTAGTGTCACGGATCCCTCCCCAGGAGAAAATCCTCCCTTCAGGTGAGTATGGGCAGGAAATTTTCTAAAGCGCAGATGGTGCATCTGCAAGAATTAAGGGAATTAATGAAGAGCTCAATTTTGATTCTTAGGAGTCAGGGCAAAACGCTCCCGGCTCCAACTAAAAAGGACCTCATAGCCCTTTTAAAGTACATCCACATGCAGTGTCCAGTTTATCCAGAAAAGGGGTCCTTAAAAGTCTCCACATGGCAACGTTTGGGTGACTTTTTTCATGATACTCCCAGGGCTCCGCCAAAGATTTTAACCACATGGCAGATAATTATGGAATGTTTAAAAGTTCACAGCTCAGCGCTGACTAATGCTGGCACACACACCCCCTGCGGGAGGTCCCCCTCCCTATGCTGCTGAGACCAAAACCAAAGATGCTCTCCCACTGGAAGCCTCTTCCCCCACAGCTCCTGAACCCTCGGTTCCTCCTAAATTAAATCCTGCGGGGGATCAGACACTCATGGGAGCAGTTGCACAAGCCATGGCACAGGGGCGCAAGGAGGGCTCTCTTACCCTAGAGGAGCTCTCCCTCTGCCCCATAGAATATGTGTGGGATGGAGCTGGGAATATGGTGCCTAGGCTTGAACCCTTATCCATGAAATTAATTAGAGATTTAAAACAAGCTGTGGCCATGTATGGCATTCAGGCACCGTATGTCAGAGGTCTCATTAACACCATCAGCACCTCCTTTTTTCCTCCAAAAGGCTGTCCAGAGGCAAATTTCAAATGGAGAGGCCCACAGAGAGCTTCTGTTGAAATTAGCCTTTGAGAATGCAAATGAGGATTGCAAAAGGATTCTGCAGCCTCTGGCTGCCCGAGGGGGGGCTTCCCTCTCGGACTATCTAAAGGCTTGCAGAATCATGGGGACTGTTTCCTACAATATGGAACACCTGGCAATGGCCCTGCAGCAAGCAAATTCTCAAAACAGGCCAGCTGGGAATTGCTTCAATTGTGGGAAACCAGGCCACTTCAAAGCACAATGTAGGGCTAGGGACAATCCACAAAACAACAACAAGCCAAAAACAATTTGCCCAAGGTGCAAAAAAGGGTACCACTGGGCAAACCAGTGTCGCAGCAGCACCCCCCAACCGCAGGGAAACTAGAGGGGGGGCAGTCAGCCAGCCCCACTCCAAAGGCTGACACCATATCTTTCCAATTAGTTGCTTCTGAAGATATGGAAATTGACATCCCAGGCACTGTGTACTTTCTCCCCACGTGTCTGAAAACCATCCCTCCTGCCATGACGCCCCTCATAATTTATCCCATCCGGGACCTCGTGGCAAAAGGAATTATTGCATCTCCATTTCTGAGAGATTCCGATGACTTTTCCTCAGTTGCCATAGCGGTAATTGGAAATACTCCCACAAAATTTAGCAAGGGAGAACTAGTGGCAACTGCTGTTCCAGTACCTGTTAAAACTGAAGATGCCTGGGCATTCGCTGTCCATCAGTCTATGGAACGAGCCAGGCCTGTATTACAATTCACAATCAATGATAAGGTCTTTTCGGGTCTCTTAGATACTGGAGCTGACGTTAGTGTCATCCGAACGGCTGAGTGGCCGGACGATTGGCCCCTGGAAACTGCCCCGGCCGTTCGGGGAGTGGGAGGAGTTCAGCACACCCACCGTAGCAAACACTGGCTACCGTTGAGTTCATCTGACATCTCTCGCACTGCCTACCTCCAACCCTTGGTGCTTCCACTACACACTAACCTGTGGGGCCGTGATCTCATGTCTCAACTTAATGCAAAACTCATCATAGACTAATGGCATCCTCCACTGAAACCCCACTGCGGCTGCAACTAAAAACCACAGAGCCTGTTTTGGTGGATCAGTGGCCCCTCACTATAGACAAATTAAAAGCCTTGCAATCACTTGTCCAGGACCAAATTGTCAAAGGGCATGTTGAACCATCTGTCAGCCCATACAACACTCCCATTTTTGTTGTAAAGAAAAAATCAGGGAAATGTAGGCTCTTACAGGATTTGAGGGCCTTGAACATGATTATAAAACCAATGGGGGCATTACAATGTGGTCTGCCAAATCCCAATATCATCCCTGAAAAATTTGATCTCATGGTTGTTGACCTAAAGGATTGTTTTTTTTCTATCCCACTGCATGAACTTGACCGCGCCTTGTTCGCATTTACTCTGCCTCGCTTGAATAACTCCTCTCCCTCCTCTCGCTTTCAATGGAAAGTCCTACCTCAGGGCATGCTCAACAGCCCCACCATGTGTCAGCACTATGTAAATAAGGTCCTGTTACCCTATTGTTCTGCCTATCCACAATTTCTGGTGTATCATTACATGGATGACATCCTTGTTGCTGCTCCTGGACCCCCAGATACAGTGTTTGCTTCGTTCTCTTTCCTGAAAGCCATCCTCGCGAAGGGAGGCTTGCACATAGCGCCTGAAAAGGTACAAGTGCTGACTCCCTATGCATATCTAGGCTATAAAATGCTCTCAACTACTGCCTATCCTTCACTCCCCTCACTCTCTCTGCCTCCTCAACCTACCCTTGTTCAGCTTCAACAATATCTGGGCACCATTAATTGGGCCCGACCTTTCCTGCCACTACCACTGACACTCTTTCTCTGCTGTTCGAAGCCCTTACTTGGGGAAAAGGGCCCGCTGACAAAATATCCTTGCAGCAACCTCAGCTTCAAGCGCTGACCCATATAGAAGAGAACATACGTAGAATATGGGTGGATAGGGCCGCTGCCACTACTCCTCTAGATATGGTCATTCTAGCCACCCCAAGGCTCATGACCGCGGCAGTGACCCAAAAGGACCAAAAGCTCCACATCTTAGAGTGGATCCATCTCTCCCACACGCCCCGATGCTCCATCACTTCCAAACCAGCTCAATTGGCTCAATTAATCGTAAAGGGCAGGAGACGCACAAAAGCACTAATGGGGATAGATGTCTCGACACTTTTTATCCCCTTCTCGCTGCAAATTTGGGAACCTCTATTCCAAAACTCCCAGGAGCTTCAGTTGGCCTTATCCGACTGGCCTGGGCTAGTCTCCTGCCACCCACCCGCTGACCCACGTTTTCAGATCATTCGAACCATACCCATCTCCTTCTCCTCTCCCATCAGCAAACAACCTTGGGTCAGTGCCCTGACTATATTTGCTGATGGAATCAGGGAACGAGGGGCATGCGCTTGGCAAAAGAATGGAGCATGGCACACCAAAATCACCCCTGTGCAGACTTCACCACAAAGGGCTGAGCTTTCTGCAACCATACTAGTCCTCCAAAAGTTCAGCGAACCCCTCAACTTGATCTTGGACAGCCTGTATGTTACCCAAATAGTCTCTACCATCCACGACTCTTACCTCTCTCCCGCTATTGACAAGAACCTTCTCTCTCTTTTTGTTACACTGCAACAGCTTGTTGCGCAACGACAACACCCTCTCTTTGTAGCCCACATTCGCAGCCACCAGCCTTTCCCAGGAATTCTTCAGGAAGGCAATGACATGGCTGATCAAGCGGCTGCAGGTTATTATGACCACGCACACCCTAACTCCTTGGGAAAGCCATTCTTACTTTCATCAAAATGCCAAAGCCTCAGCCATCAGACAGCAATGCCCCACCTGCAGTCAGCAAGCCAATTCCATCCCCTTAAGAGTAAATCCCTGTGGGTTGAAAGCCTGTGAAATATGGCAAATGGACATTACTCAGTTTCCTCCATTTGCCCCCTGGAAGTACCTGCATGTCACAATTGATACTTATTCAGGGTTCATAATGGCAACCCCGCAGAGAGGAGAAGCCTCTAAACATGTCATTAACCACTGCATTCGCACCTTTGCATCGTTGGGACGCCCAAACGAAATAAAAACAGACAATGGTCCTGCATACACTAGTGCGGCTATGTCAGAATTTTGCTCTAAGTGGCAGGTCACCCACAAATTTGGGATCCCTTACAACAGCCAGGGACAAGCCTTGGCAGAGAGAGCCAATTTAACTTTAAAGACAGCGCTAGAACGACATCTGACCAAAGGGAAAAAAACCCATGGCCTCCCGGCGATGCAAAACACCCTTAATCTTTGCCTTTATACACTTAATTTCCTCAATCTCTCTGGCACCCCTGCTACGACAGCAGCGGAGTGACACTTTTCCTCCCCCCCTCTCCGGATTCTCCCAAACCACAGGTATACTACCGCCAACTGCCAGACCCTGCTTGGAAAGGTCCTGCTGATCTCCTCACCTGCGGTCGCGGCTATGCAGCTATCCAGCTTCCAGATCGTGTCCTGTGGGTTCCTGGACGGCACGTCAGACCATACCACCCCAAGGTAGCAAAACCACCAGCTGCAGACATATCAACATGATCTGCCCTGCTGCTTCACTGACCCTCCTCCTCCTCCTCTTCCTCCTTGCTGCACACACCTCCAAAGTTTCCATTCCATCCAGAGTAACATACTTCACGCCAGACACCCCGCTCCTTCTGACCTGCACTGCATCCTGGGACATTTTCCCCCCTTATCTCAGATGGTCAACGCTTCCTCAGCCATGGTCCTACATCTCCAGCAATGCTTCTTTCCGGGTCAACACCTTTGAACAACCCCCTCGAGCTACACTCCTCATATCCCATCCTACTGCAACCACCTACTATTGTTCAGGTCGACGCCTCCATGATTCTACGCGCAACACCTACAGCTCCTGGACAATCCTCAGACCTCGCTCACCTCATCATCATCACAGACAATTTGTGAATCAGCCTGACACTCATATTCAGAACCCCACTTTGCTGCATAGGATTAAAAGATCACAAAAACCCACCAAACCAGATGACTGCACCCCCTGCTTGACCAAAACCACACAAGCAGGCTTCACTCGACTGACTCTCATTTACCATACCCAGCAACCACAGAGATGCCTTTCTACTGGGAAAACTTGCCAGAATAACGGGACTATGTTTCAGTTATGCAAAATGAACTCAAAAACTATTTGCTATGACCCCAAGACGGCTGTTCGCCTCAATGTTACTTTGTGGGCTGGACTTCCAAAAGCCTCTGGCAGAGCCGATCCTGAAGGGG